TATTATTATTATTATTATTATTATTATTATTATTATTATTATTATTATTATTATTATCAATAACGCCCTTCTCTTTTTTCTTTTTTCTTTTTTTTTATCAATAAGTCCTTCTTTTACCTTATTCTCTCATATTTTATTATTAATTTTTATCTATCTATTTTTTTTTATCAACCTCTATCAACTCTACATTCATTCTCATTAATTTTTCTCTTTATATATTAATAATTTTATTGTTATTAATTTTCCCTTGTTATCCTTATTCCTTTAATATTATTCTTTTATTCACTGATTGCATCTATATTTATTATTATATATCATTTGCATCCCAATTTCTCTCTCTTTCTTTCTCTCTCACTCTCCCTCATTTTGTATATATTAGAATTGTTTAACTTTTTATCTTAATAAATATATTTAAAATTTGTAGTTTAGACTTTTGAGAAAGAAAATGTTGAACCATTTTTATGTTCTTAACGGAGACTCTTTTTATTTTTAGGTTCCTTATAAGTCCGGTCTCTTTCTTCCTACTTATGTTAGGATGGCTCTATATAATTTTACAACCATAATTTGAAGTATATGAGGCTTACGAACGCCTTAAACAGGTAAATTTTGACCGAGATGGAATAAGCCAAAATCAAATAAAATGTTACATTGAATCAGTAATGGAAGTGATTTTGCACAAAAGAAAGAAACCAATGTCAAATTATACACTGTATAAAATTATACTAGAAGGAAATCAGTGCACGAATCAAATTATACACTGTATTTTCGTTCTCGGAAGCAGTTTTGCTCACAAGAAAGAGCTGGTATCAAATCAGATGCCAGTAAATCGAGTTCTAGCATTATTTAGAACTAGGTCGAGTGGGGCAATTAGAAGCAATGTGTCCTTTCTTCTTACATTTATGGCATTCAACAAGATTGCACTCATATAGAACATGTCTGGGCTTATTACAATGGCGACAAAACTTTTGTCCACCCTTGGAGGAATTCCTATTCATAGTTGCTAGAACAGTATCAACTTGTTGAGGTCTAAGTAGCTTCAAGCGAGTCTCATTAGATAGCAATCAAGATATTGCATTGTCTAGAGTAGGCAATGGAGATTGATGCAATAAAGAGGCTTTGCAAGGCTCATAATTATCAGTAAGAGCCATAAGAAACTGAATTAATCTCATTCGATCACGATGCTAAGTATATTTCTCATTGTCAATAGTGCAATCAAGTGTTGGTATAGAAAGTGTGAGTTGATCCTAGATAGCTTCCATTTTGGCATAAAAGCTAGTGATAGACTCACCATGTTCTTGTTTCAAATGATGCAATTCTTCCCTTAATTGATATTGACTTGACAAATCAGAAGTGGTGTACCATTTTGCAAGTAGATCCCCTACCTCCTTAGCAGTGTAATATCTCACAAATTGGAGATTAATAGATGGAGTGGAGGTATTACGGAACCAAGTAATAATTTGGTGATTTTTGCTATCTCAGTTCTCAAGACGATTAGCAAACTTGTCATCAGGTTTCTCAACACCTTTCTTAGGAAGCTTCATATAACCAGTAACATAGCGCCATAATTTTCTCCCCTTTAAAAAACTGCGCATGCCTTGAACCCAAAGCATGTAATTTGAATCATTAAGAATAGTAGAGATAGGTTGTGTAACATCGGGTTTCTCCATGATGGTAAAAAGTAGGAAAATAAATCCAAAAACAAAGGCCTTAAGAACTAGTCAAATAGCGGAAAAGGCAAATTGGATTGTTTGATGAAGTCGACGTTCAAGCAGTAGAGTTGATGGCAGCTAAATTGGAGGAATCTATCACCCAATTGAGGAAGGAGCAACTCGAGATGCATGGTTTTGAAGCTAGAAACTTAAAGGAAAGAGAGAGTTTCCTTCGCCTTGATGAAAACCAAGAACGGTGCTAGAACTACCATCAGATTAGATGACTGGAAGTGATGGAGAAAACTGGAACTATGGCTAGAACTTTGCTGGAGAAAAAAGTAGTAAGCAAAATAAGAGATGGATTTTGGATTGTGACCCAAAAATCCAAATAGAAAAAAAAAGAAGAAGATATAGCTGGGCAGAGAAGTCGAAGAACTTAATAAGGCTCTGATACCATGATAATTTTAAAGAATGAAAAATGTTGATTCATTTCTTGAGCTCATTTTTTTACATCTCGGTAAAGGCATATGTATATATATACAAAAACAAGGGACTGGCTTTTGTGTGAAACCATTTGGAGAAATTGTGGCTTGTACTGGCTGCATTAATGAAGTTGTAGACAATTGTGCATTTCAACAGAGATGGCATATCGCGGCAGTAGACAATTGAGTGAAGACTTGATCTTGCAGGGAGTTGCAGTATGCATTTTTCTAGTGCATTTATTAGCATGTCTGCATATATCAATATTATAACAAGATACAAGTACAACTCATAAGTGAATTCTTAAATTGGTTATGAAATCAAATTATACAAGAAAGAACCTGAACAAGTGGAAAAAGCTTATAAGTATAAAATCTTTGAATTATTTGGGATTGAAAAAATATCATTGATGTTGAATTTTTATTTTCCAAAATTTTTTTGATAAGTATAAAATCTTTGAATTATTTGGAATAGAAGAATTAGAATTGATGTTGAATCTTTATTTTCCAAACAAATTTTGTTTGATGAGTTTAAACTCTTTGAATTATTTGAAATAGAAGAAGTATCATTGATGTTGAATCTTTATTTTCCAAACAAATTTTGTTTTTACCTTCATTCCCTGGTACTCTGAGTCATCTTCTTGAATGATCTTCAATTTGGACCCTGTAACAGAAATGGAGAAACAGTGAGAGAGATTGGATTTATCTCCTTTGTGAAAGACATAAAGCAAACAAAAAGAAAAAATTGTGGATGCGTCTTTCTATGACTTGAATTTCATGTTCAATAAATCAACTTATTTACTGCATGTGTTGGGAAAAAGCTTTATGTCTGTGATGAACAGATTTTCTGACATCTTCTCCTTCTTTTGTATCCTAGTAAGTAGAAGCTGTTCTCTTTATAATTTTACAACCATAATTTCCAGTATATGAAGCACTACTGCAGGAATGTAATATTCAGACCGACCAATCGGTCCGTATATATCCCAAATCGGTCTGAACATATATATCCGGACCGATATTGGTCCTTATAGTT